AAAAAGTGGTGTTGATTTGAAAAAAAATTGAGAATTTTAATTTTCAAATTTCCATGTGCGTTTCGTATAGGTAACTTTCGCTCCCTCTGGTAGGCTTAATATGCCCGGGCCACGAGATGTAATCGATCCCGGATATGAAGGATGCATTGTAGAATTGATTTTCGTGAAAAAAAAGTGGTGTTGATTTGAAAAAAATTGAGAATTTTAATTTTCAAATTTCCATGTGCGTTTCATATAGGTAACTTTCGCTCCCTCTGGTAGGCTTAATATGCCCTGGCCACGAGATATAATCGATCCCGGATATGAAGGATACATTGTAAAATTGATTTTCGTAAAAAAAAGTGGTGTTGATTTGAAGAAAGATTGAGTATTTTAATTTTCAAATTTCCATGTGCGTTTCGTATAGGTAACTTTCGCTCCCTTTGGTAGGCTTAATATGCCCCGGCCACGAGATGTAATCGATCCCGGATATGAAGGATGCATTGTAGAATTGATTTTCGTGAAAAAAAAGTGGTGTTGATTTGAAAAAAAATTGAGAATTTTAATTTTCAAATTTCCATGTTCGTTTCGTATAGGTAACTTTCGCTCCCTCTGGTAGGCTTAATATGCCCCGGCCACGAGATGTAATCGATCCCGGATATGAAGGATACATTGTAAAATTGATTTTCATGAAAAAAAAGTGGTGTTGATTTGAAGAAAAATTGAGTATTTTAATTTTCAAATGTCCATGTGCTTTTCGTATAGGTAACGTTCGCTCCATCTGGTAGGCTTAATATGTCCCGGCCACGAGATGTAATCGATCCCGGATATGAAGGATACATTGTAAAATTGATTTTCATGAAAAAAAAGTGGTGTTGATTTGAAGAAAAATTGAGTATTTTAATTTTCAAATTTCCATGTGCGTTTCGTATAGGTAACTTTCGCTCCCTCTGGTAGGCTTAATATGCCCCGACCACGGAATGTGATAGATAGTGTGATAACACTGACAACACACAATGTATATAATTTTGTGTAGATACTATAACACCGTTTTACATGGGAAGACGGTGCCGCACCGCCTGCTTACGCTGCGCCGGCTTCGCGGCTGTAGCGACGCGCGATGGTGTCCAGCGCGACGCGGCCGCTGGTGAGAAGAGGGACTATCGTTTGTTGCTGGCTGGCCGTTGTTGCTAGAGTCACCGCGGTGAAGCTCTGAGCTACTATAGGCAGACTATACTGGGGTCCATTACTTTGGACCCTCAGGACGTCAAGGATCTTGGACTCAAGGTGATTCTCAACTTCGCTAAAAGGGCGACGCTTGTGATCTAAAGGAATGTAGAGGTGCATAAGAGCCCGATTAAGCGGCCTATGCACTGGGTCCTTATGGTGGCCGGAATGCCTCTAATTTCAAGATTCATTCAAACCAAATTCCTCCTTCTGGAAAGATCAACTTCTTGAGCTCTTTCTGAGCCAGCGGGAGCTGGCGTCGGTAGCAGGAGCGACCAGCGACGTCTGTCCGACGCCTGAGCATCAGCGCAAGCTCTTGATCGCACCGCCTAGCGCCCACCGGCCTGGCTGTGGCCTGGTGCCAGGGCAACCGGATCACTTGGTGTCGTTCACTTGCCGCCGTGTCTCACTCTCTACGCGTTCGACGTGCTCCTGCTTCTGCCGTCACGTGTGCGACGTTGCCATTGCCCTTCGAAGGGATTTCGCGCTATTGCCCTTTGTCAAACATGACAAAGTTCCGTGGCGAGCATCAGGTTGCGTGTGCGAAGTGATTGGTTTCATCAGGTGTGATTGACAGTTTTCAAAGTGGGACAGAGGCTCTTGGTCTTGGATAGTTTGCTGTTAGCAGTTGGTGCTGGTGGTGTGAAAGAGACTGTCTGTAATTGTGGTGAGTGGCTTTTGTTAACGCTCACACTGAATTTTGTACTTAAATTTTGTAAGCAGAGGAGTTCGACAAAGCTCTGTACTGGCCCCATTACTATTCCTGTCGTTTGTGAATGATGACAACACATATTTATGTAACAACAAATAATAAAGTGATTTTATTGGTTATCTTCCATATCATAGCAAAGCTTAGCTTGATGGCTACTCTTCCACTTAACCAGAATATGGACGAAACATAACAAAAAGTTTAGACGCAACATAAAACAATTACAGTTATGAAATTATACTATTTACAAGCATAGTAAGCCAGAAAGAAAGGAGTAACATTAGAAATATAAACGAATGAATAAGAATAAAACAATAACTCAAGCTTTGAGAGATATTTGCATCTCTAACAGCTGTTTTCTAACCGATTTCTTAAGGCTGGTAAACCTGTTTATTTGTTGTAATTTTTGTAACTGAACGGATTGTACTCAAAAGATATCTGATGCAATTCAACTAAGTACGGTGAAGAAGTATATAACTGGTCACCGTGGCGTAACCGCTTGTAATTTGATTTCTACGAGGAACTAACTTAGTTGCTAGGTACATAGGTCTCATGGTGATGATTATTTTATGCATAAAAACATTAAAAACACAAAAAGATGTTTGAGCTTCAGTCACTCCAACTGAAAAATCTTAGATGTACCTACGAAGATCGAAAACAAAACGACAGCAACAGTTTTGAATTTTCTACAGTCTGGTTTTTGTTATGAGTCAAGACAAGGATAGTAAAGCAGTGAAACATAAGATGAAACAGAAGTCGCTACAGAGTGTCATGATTCAAGCTCAAAGCATGCTAAATAAATGTGTTATTATGGTTCAGCACTAATGATCTGATACGCAATTTAAGCATGTGGCTGAAGAACCGATCGATCGAGCGCGATCGAAAACGTTATAAAGGCAGCAGTGCACAAAATTTGTCATTTCAACATACAACCACGTCTTTTGGCTTTAAATGTGCGTAAATCAATGCAGTTTTCATGCAATATCGTTTATTTTATGTGTTTTTATCTGTCATTGAAGTCTAGCCCCCCCTTCCCCAAAAACATCCCCAAAGTTGTGAGTAACGCGAAAAAGTTATTATTTCGTGAAAATTATAATGAAAAAATGCGATTTTTGCATTAATCGCATAAGACAAACATACCTCAAGTGCCCTTGAGTGGACATGGCATTAACTCGTGGTTTACCTCCAAAAAAATATATAGATATAAAAAATTACTATGTTGAATCAGATCGGAAACCCGTAATTGTTGAAAATCACCTTACGCCCAAAATTTTTTCGCGGATATCTGGTCAACTTAACGTGTTCTAACAGCCCATGATAGTCGTTTGCTCGAGCGGGGTCCGGAACATACTTTTTCAGGGTTAGGGTGGGTTTACATGCCGTTCGCGCAAAAAAAATTATATTTCAAAAAAATTGGCTTACGCCCAAAATTTTTTTGTGCGAATCGTGTTTATTTAACATGTTCTAACATCCCACCAAGCCGTTTCCCCCATGGGGGTCCGGAACACCCCGATCCGCACTTCGATCAGAATTCGAAAAAACACGTGTCATTTTTCAAAATCGCTTTACGCCCAAAATTTTGTCACTGATATCCGGTCAACTTAACGTGTTCTAACAGCCCATGATAGTCGATCGCTCGAGCGGGGTCCGGAACATACTTTTTCAGAGTTAGGGTGAGTTTACATGGCGTTCGCGCTAAAAAATTATATTTCAAAAAAATTGGCTTACGCCCAAAATTTTTTTGTGCGAATCGTGTTTATTTAACATGTTCTAACATCCCACCAAGCCGTTTCCCCCAGTGGGGTCCGGAACACCCCGATCCGCACTTCGACCAGAATTCGAAAAAACACCTGTCATTTTTCAAAATCGCTTTACGCCCAAAATTTTTTCACTGATATCCGGTCAACTTAACGTGTTCTAACAGCCCATGATAGTCGATCGCTCGAGCGGGGTCCGGAACATACTTTTTCAGAGTTAGGGTGGGTTTATATGGCGTCCTCACTAAAAGAAATATATTTAAAAAAAATTGGCTTACGCCCAAAATTTTTTTGTGCGAATCGTGTTTATTTAACATGTTCTAACACCCCACCAAGCCGTTTCCCCCAGGGGGGTCCGGAACACCCCCATCCGCACTTCGATCAGAATTCGAAAAAACACCTGTCATTTTTCAATCGCTTTACGCCCAAAATTTTTTCACGGATATCTGGTCAACTTAATGTGTTCTAATAGCTCATGATCACCTCAGGCGGATGTGAATGTTATTGAATAAACTATACAATATTGGTTTTGTGTATTTGTAATACAGAATGTAACAATATAGTAAAATAAAAGCGATTTTAATAGGTGTATCCGTGTAAGTCGCAGAATGTACACTTAATCAATATTGAACAGGTATTGATTACGGCGAGATGAAAATATCAGTTTCTTTACATGGCCTTATCATTAGCTGAGAGAACCTCATTAGTATGATTATTTTTCAAATCCGTGTATACATATGTTTGTCGACAACCGGGACCAGGTCGCCGATTTAGAATCCCACATCAAAATCTAATACTAATGTAATCACTTTGTGTCCCCAGCAAAGGTACCGGATCCAGGTAGTAAATACGTGCCGTTGGGCTGTTTGCAGGAATGTCGGGGTAATATAGACAATTGTAATGGAATTTTATGTAATCCTCAGGTTGTAAGCAAAAAGGATACGTACAGGTATAGGTTGTAAAACAAGGATACATATAGGTAAATTTTTATTGGCATAATTTAGTTGTGTTTGTGTCGTTGGGCATCTCGGGTTACAGTATTTCTTCAAAATACTGCAATGTCTGCAAACGAATTTCGCGAAAAAGTGAGTGTTGCACGTGTGATATGTGATATCGTGAAGTTGGTAGATGAAGTGAACTAGTGCCTAGGCATATCAAAAATTTCATGTGCGAGCATGGTGGCTATTAACGGTTATATTTAATCGAAAATAACAAAAGGTAAGCAGTACCCGGCCGAAATCGACAATTTCACTATTCTATCAACTGAAATAAAAAATGACAGGGAGATCGTTAAAATATGCGTGTTTTTTGGCATTATATTCTTTTAGGCGCAATCGGAACAATTGTGCTATATATGCCAAATGTACTCGACTCAGTATTTCAAATTTTCTGCGTCCGATATTGGTCGGGCTGGTGATGATGTGCAGTTTCAACAAGCAAGGGGTTCAGAGAATAAACAACTGGCTTAAATATCGTAGTGCCCGCGATTACCAACTAGAGGTGATATCTAAAACCGACAAAGAACTGCTCAAAGATGGGCATCCGCAAGACATTTCCCAATTTACCACCTACCACAAAATTGCATCCGAAACAAAACGCGGGAACAGACTGCTGCTCAGTTCGCGGGACTTATCCGATTTGTTTCAATATTGCATTAAGCAGCATAACCAGCTTGACCCTTATTTGCGATATGTCGCTAGCAGTTCTCCTCTATACCGAATGCCAGTTAACATAGTTCCACCTAGAGGAGCAATTATACATTTTGAAGCAACAGGGTCTGTTTGCCGCAAACCTGTTTTAAAAAAAATAATAACTACAGTATCGACCTGAGATGTCATCAGTCGACAATTCCTATTGCCGAACTGATCACATCGCAACAAAACATCTGCTCTATATCTTTGTTTTTAAAAATGTATTGAGTATCGCCTTCAATAAGGTATATAAATGGCCACTGGTGCGGGCGGTGGTCATCCACTGGAGCATTGTAAAAAAAATTTGGTCAATTATTAGAAATATAATTTTTTTTTGTGAGAACGCCACGTAAACCCACCCTAACCCTAAAAAAGTATGTTCCGGACCCCGCTCGAGCGATCGACTATCATGGGCTATTAGAACACGTTAAGTTGACCGGATATCAGTGAAAAAATTTTCGGCGTAAAGCGATTTTGAAAACTGACAGGTGTTTTTTCGAATTCCGATCGAAGTGCGGATGGAGGTGTTCCGGACCCCCCTGGGGGAAACGGCTTGGTGGGATGTTAGAACATGTTATATAAACACGATTCGCACAAAAAAATTTTGGGCGTAAGCCAATTTTTTTGAAATATAATTTTTTTTGCGCGAACGCCATGTAAACTAACCCTAACTCTGAAAAAGTATGTTCCGGACCCCGCTCGAGCGATCGACTATCATGGGCTGTTAGAACACGTCAAGTTGACCGGATATCAGTGAAAAAATTTTGGGCGTAAAGCGATTTTGAAAAATGACAGGTGTTTGATCGAATTCTGATCGAAGTGCGGACGGGGGTGTTCCGGACCCCCCTGGGGGAAACGGCTTGGTGGGATGTTAGAACATGTTAAATAAACACGATTCGCATAAAAAAATTTTGGGCGTAAGCCAATTTTTTTGAAATATAATTTTTTTAGTGAGGAGGCCATATAAACCCACCCTAACTCTGAAAAAGTATGTTCCGGACCCCGCTCGAGCGATTGACTATCATGAGCTGTTAGAACCCGTTAAGTTGACCGGATATCAGTGAAAAAATTTTGGGCGTAAAGCGATTTTGAAAAATGACAGGTGTTTTTTCGAATTCTGATCGAAGTGCGGTTCGGGGTGTTCCGGACCCCACTGGGGGAAACGGCTTGGTGGGATGTTAGAACATATTAAATAAACACGATTCGCACAAAAAAATTTTGGGCGTAAGCCAATTTTTTTGAAATATAATTTTTTGCGCGAACGCCATGTAAACTCACCCTAACTCTGAAAAAGTATGTTCCGGACCCCGCTCGAGCGATCGACTATCATGGGCTGTTAGAACACGTCAAGTTGACCGGATATCAGTGAAAAAATTTTGGGCGTAAAGCGATTTTGAAAAATGACAGGTGTTTGATCGAATTCTGATCGAAGTGCGGACGGGGGTGTTCCGGACCCCCCTGGGGGAAACGGCTTGGTGGGATGTTAGAACATGTTAAATAAACACGATTCGCATAAAAAAATTTTGGGCGTAAGCCAATTTTTTTGAAATATAATTTTTTTAGTGAGGAGGCCATATAAACCCACCCTCACTCTGAAAAAGTATGTTCCGGACCCCGCTCGAGCGATTGACTATCATGGGCTGTTAGAACCCGTTAAGTTGACCGGATATCAGTGAAAAAATTTTGGGCGTAAAGCGATTTTGAAAAATGACAGGTGTTTTTTCGAATTCTGATCGAAGTGCGGATCGGGGTGTTCCGGACCCCCCTGGGGGAAACGGCTTGGTGGGATGTTAGAACATGTTAAATGAACGACACTGTATGAAAAACCCAAGTAATGTAGAACAGTAATCAGCAGATGGTTTAAGCTTATCAAAGTCCTTCGAGACATCTAATGAAATTAAGATGCATAAGTCGCCATCATCAATGTATTTGCGGATATCATCTGTTACTCTCAGCAAGCTGTGATCTGATCTGAACCCTGATTGATTTTACAGAAAACTGTCATTTTTGGCAACAAAGACCCATATTCTAGCATCCAAAATCATTTCGATGACCTTTGATAGAGTAGGTACATATGAAAATTTCATCCAAATCGGAGCAGTACTTACCATGGACCAAGGAGTTGCGGATAGACGGGCAGACATTTAACTTGTCATGTTTTGATCTAAGAAGGCTTTAATTGTTGCAGTACTATCAACTCTTGTGTTATCAACTTATAGCATGATGTTAGGAAGAATTACGTGGACAATGCAGCTCTACAAAAAAACATGTTTCCTTTTGTAGAGTGTGAAAGGAACTGGTAATACCATAACAGCCAATACTGCAAATTACTGCCTAATAACCTTAACGAACAGTAACCTCACAGGTTTGTTTAACGAGTTCATGTTGACATGACCGCTCCACTGTACATGACGTCATAAATTATATAGTCTATCAGAAATAATCAATAGGTTCAATATCATAACGGTTACCGAGAACACGCTACCATTATTACCGCTAAAGAAGCCATTACGTATGATATAAAACGTTAAAATGCGGAAGAAGTCACTCGACTTTACAATTCTGCACTCAATTTATAGAACTTTCTCAAATTCTCCGAGTTAATAACTTTAAAGGGATGATGTCTAAGGTTATATTAAAAATTAGCCCAGTTTCCATTTGCATTTCATAAAAAATTCAAATCAAAATATTTGCTGTACAAAGTAAGAAGACGAGCAAATAATCTCACCTGCTTTCAGACATCGTCTGTAATGTTTTGAAATAAAGTAACTAAACTTCTTATGAATTTTCCTCGCAGCATAAACAGTTTCACAGAAAAAAGAAGCTGACAAAACCCTCGTAATCGCAGTAAGTTTTAGCAACTCCACTTCTTGCGGCTGTAAGCTCGCAGGTGAAACAACACGTCAAGCACCTGAGAGATACAGAACCGTGATATACAGGGTGACTCTGAAGTTGAGTCATTAATTTTCAGATAATGATTTTAGAAGGAAGATAAACCAAAATATGTGTGTAAAAATAAAAAAAAAATAAAAAAAATGTTACCTTGTTTTATAAAGTCCTCCCTCCCTCCCGACAAGTATTTCAGTGCGGACCTGTATTTGAGCGTGAGGTCTTGGAGCACCGGCATGCCGTCACCTGATTCACGAGCCCCTTGTACTACATTAACAAAGGCACGACGGGTTGGTTGCACTCGATTGGGAAACCGATCCGCATAAACATGTGCCATTTTTTATTTCGTTTGAGCCACGCAACAGACACAACTATTCACTCACGCGATACCGACTGACACTGACTATATACAAATGAATAAAATAATTGTAAAAACATCGTTCCAAATTCTTTCGAGCACATAATATTATTATTGAGACAGGGAAGTACTCAAACTTCCAAAGGGCTATAACTTTGTTACTTTAATTTTACCAGAAAAATGGTAAAGGAAAAAAACATTTCTTTTGATCAGATCTACTCACTGTTAAAATAAATGACTCAACTTCGAAGTCACCCTGTATATATATTTTTTTCGTTAATGGAAACCACCATTTGGACGTTATAAAGGTCATTAAACATGTTTAGTTGTGAATCATCAGTGTTATATATGAATCTGATTGAAACAAGCTTTCGTGTAATATACATACATAGTGCATCATTTATCGACATTAAGATACATCTTGTTAGGATGATACAGTTCACACTCAAATTGCTTAAGATGTCTTTCAAAGTACGACAGTATCAATTTTACAAACGATTTTTAAGTCATCTGCATTGAGAAGACTGCTGCTGTGTACCTCCCTAATGACGTCATCAATGAAAATTTGGAAAAACAAGAGACCAAGAGCAGATCCTTGAGGTATGTCAGAAGAAGCTATAATCTGAATGGAAGTGAAGCTTTTCAACTTTCACGTTTGATAGTTGAAAAAGCTCGATGCCGTATGCATTCGTCTACTCGTTGGATCATGCTTCTGAGGAAATGGCTTATGTTTTCGTGGGTTTCTGATCTTAATGTAGCTGTACTTGGTTCCGGAGAGTTGGTAGCGCTTGCGGAGGATGAGATATTGAGATCACCGTTGTTCCCATCGTACTCCACAAGCGGTCAATAGGCGAAATGTCTCGCGATCTAGGAGACCAAGGAAGGCAGGTGACCTGAGCTTTAGTAGTAGTCTGCTGGAGCTCTAGAAATATGGGAACGGACATTATCTTGTTGGAAAAAGGGTCATCGGGTGCGTGAATGGCGTTCCAGTATTTCCTGAATATACCGTAGCGCCTCTATGCCATCTCTAATTAAAACTTGAGGTGACTTAACACCATATCTAATGGCGCTCAAGTCTTATGAAAAATCCAAAATATCTCAATATGGATTCTACTAAAGAAACTAAGACATTTCATCTGATATATAACATAACATCCAAAAAACATAGTATCTTATTACGATACTTCCTCGCGAGTGGCTTAGGAAGTAAGATGACATTCGCACTAGAAAGTGTATGCAGTCCTTAATCCACATAGTTCTAGCGGCCTACCTACGATGCGACGCCAAGTTATTACATTGGAAGCTCTATGTCGTGCTATGTGCCATCCGATATCACCAGAAAGCATAACTCACATAATTTATAAGTAGCTTCATTCGTACAAGCGCTTATATCAAAGCCATCTTGTCTCAAATATGTAGCGATAAAATCTTCCTGCGATATATAGACGCTAATATGTTACACTTATTCATAGTGACTCTGCTGAGCCCGTTCGGTGATACTCAGCGCGTACACTCGCTTCTGTGTGCGCTATTAAAATTAGTCCGCGTAATTTAATTTTCAGAAATACTCAACCTAATTAACGTACCTAAAAATCTATTTTGAGAAGTTAGTTGCTGAAAGTGCCATGCACATCTAACATATTTAAAGATAGATTAATGATTTTTCATCGACGCTAGCACACGCATTCCTTGATGTCACCAAACATTTTGAAAATATGTCATGGAGCCGATATACCACGAGAAGCTACGGCAGTGGAGCTTTGACAGGGTTGCCATGTTAGGAATGTTCCCCAAATTTGGAGGAATTTTATACTATATTGTTCTAGGGGATATCACA